GCTAGAAAGTTACAGATTGAAAGTAAAGCCCATGGCCACTCTCACTCATCATCAGGAGTCTAGGATCCAGCACAAGGCCTAGTCCACTTGTGGGACGGGAAATTTAGGTTACTTTTGGAACAATATTGCAAATAGAAACAGCAGGATAAATCATGCCTTCTGATGATGAGTGTTTAAAAAAATGTGTATACCCATTTGACATACCTAGTATCCAGGAATGTTTCCTTTTATGTCTTTGGGTTGTTGGGAAGAATTTGTGTGTGTGGTCTTTATTTTATAGAGTCCAGTGGATAGCATAGTGCCTGCAGCAATAACACTACAAATTGCACCGAATCAAATTCACTTCACTTAGAATGCTTCTGAGAAAAGTTAGAGAAAAACATAAAATCTTATTTCCTTTATAATAAAATTTCAGATTGTGTTTAATATGATACTTACCAGGAGAAAGGCCAGTTGTTTACACTGAAAAGTAGAATCTTGTTCTTGACCAAAGTACTACAATGTTCCCCCTTCTAAGAAAAACCAGAGACTCTTCCTTTTGACTGTGTTCAGTTTTCACTTGAGAATCATTTTCTGGAAGCTCTGGGTGTACTTGTCATAGCATTACACAGAACACTTCTGTAACCTGCTCTTTGATTTGAAATCAAGCGCTGCTCTCTGCTTATTGGAATTAAAAGTGCATTTAGTGTGCTCTCTCAAAAACACCCATTACTAACTTTAGCCCTTTAGAAAACATAGGTCTGAAGCAAAAATTTTTTTAGTTTTGCCTATTGTAATTAAGTCACAATAAACTTCCTTTATTTGGGACTGATGTGTTTTTCATTATAGAAATTCAAAATGTTATCGTTCAATGTGGTTTATGAAAATGTCAACTATCTATGCACTTCCAAATTTTCTAACTAAAAATGGAATCCAATCAACTGAGTGACTCGTAAATGATACGGGGAAAGAAATTTAATTCTATGACCTAGAAAAGCCATCTGAGTATGCTGTTTATCTTTTTGTGTTTTTTGTCCTGTGGCAAAAATACTGTGGCTTTTAATATTTGAGCTAAACTTAAAAATGCCCTGGCCTCATAAACTGTTTCCTAAAGGAATTTTTCACCATTTTTATTATAAATAGATACCAACATTTCAACTCAAACTACAAAATTTCTGACAATAATTAATGTAACGACTATGGGAATTATACTTCTAAACTTTAAGAAAGTAACTCCTGAATGAAGACAACACTCATATGGAAGTTTCCCTGGTTTATCTTACTAGAATAAAAATTGTATATTTTTGCTCAAAAATCTCTAACTTAACCATGTAAAAAATAGCTGTCCTATTATGCAACATAAATAACTTTTCTAAGACAAGAAAAAAAAGACTGAAGTCTTGCAGCAAAAACTGGCAATCTTGTCTTTTGCTGTTAAAAGCCCATGGTTAGTGACGGCTAAAGAAATGTGAAGACACTAGACACAGGGGGCAGTATCATGTGTAATTTTTTCCAAACATGTAAGTGGAACAAAAGGTGCAGTTTAAAAATGCCAGAAATAAGCAAACCAGTGGTGTGTTCTTTGTTGACACACATAAAATCCTTCACATCGTATTAAAGTAATTTTTCAAGTGCACTGGGCTACAAGGTAAGAAAGCTAATTATTACGGCCAGAAGTTAATCATCTATGATAAAAAGTTCCTCCAACAAAAGCCATGTTTGCAAATGAGCTATCTCAATCCTGATTACTCATCTGTTAAAACGTCACATTCATGTCACAGTAATTGAAGACATAAACTGAAATTGGGTGACTGATTTCTGGCTTCCTCTCTGATTAGCTTGTCACAAGGCCACAGAGGGGCCATAACACTAAGAGTTTGTGTCGCCAGTTCTTTATCTGTAATGTTCTGTTAAGGAACTTGTTGGCTTTAACAAGGAAGGGATGTTGTGGTCTCCTACCCTATCAATCAGAAATAGGATAGGAATCTATTTTTGACTAGAGGAGCTGAGATCTCACTTTCAAATGATACAAGCAGAGGGGGCAATGCTCATTAAATTAAAAACTTTTCTATATTACTTGTATCATGAAAAGTTATTCAAAAAGCACTTAAATATAACCTTTCGAAAATCACACAACAGATCTTCATTCATGCAATAAATCAGACATCTGTGGATGTTGGATAATGAAAATCTAGGATAACTCAGGTCACACCAACTCTCCCTCTGGCTTGCTCCATTAGGATAATACACATTGGAAATCTAGTTCCAAATACTTCCTCTACTGAAGATAGTGAGATTTAGCGCGACCCACCTAGCTACAACTTTTTGAATGTCTACAGAATGTTGATGCTTGATGATGCAAAACTTTTATTTAAAAGACATATTTTCAAAACCTAAATTGTCCCAATTTAATTTTCAAAATGAGAGTTAATCCATGTTTTCAGTTTATTGCCATTCACAAAACATTTTATAAAATAACATGGTAGACTTCCACTTCAACATCTTCACAGTGCAAGAAAATGAATGTTACTGAGTATGAAGACATCCAGAGCTAGCCCATATTTTAAGTATAGGGCAGAATACTTTTGCGATTCTTCCTAAAAAATGTTGGCACATTCGTCAAACGCCCAGGTTATAAAAATCACTTAGTATCAAGTCTTATCCTTCAGTGTATTTTTATATCTACATAGCATCACATTAAATGTTGGTGGGCAAAGGAGTGTAGAAAAATCTAAAAACATTTCAGGTTTTAATGATTTAAAACCAACTAGCAAAAATCTTCCCTCCAAATATTTTGTATGTGATTTTCTGTCCATTACAATAACAAAGTGAACAGCTATTATACTTTACAAAGAAGCTAAAGGAGAAGATTTCACTTTTCCTTTCAAACACGATTTCTTAGATAAAGAAGCAAAACTTTACATTTGGGTTTAAATTGGGGGTTGGGGGTAGAAGCGTCCTAAGAACGAACATCAAGTTTATGTCAGTTGTACAAATGTCTCATTTAGGAAAGAAAGTAGATCCTTTGATTCAAAGATTCTAAAATAGTTTATCACCACAAGAAAAGAATCATCTTTCTCCTGGGGCCCTGGGGGCGACGCTGGGTCGGTGGCTGGGGCTGCCGAACTACTCTCTCGCGCCCCCAAACAAGGCTCTGGTGGAGGCAGCCGCGGGAGGGCGCCGCCTGGCGGAGGGATCC